ATTTGTCTAACTGTATTTTAAAATTTGACTGACGTAACCTTTCAAAAACTTCTCTAAGTCGAGAAATGTGTTCCTGTAAACTAGTACTGAATATTATAATGTCATCTAAATATACTAAGCATTTTTCATTTTGAATACCTCTCAGTATGTTATCCATTACTCGCTGGAAAGTCGTTGGCGCGGTTTTAAGTCCAAATGGCATTCTTGTAAACTCGTAGTGTCCATTTTCTGTATTGAATACAGTTTTTTGAATATCCTCTTCTGCCATTTCTATTTGGTGAAAACCTGAAGCTAAGTCTAATGTTGAAAAATATTGGCATCGCCCTAATTTGTCTAACAAATCTGTTATGTTTGGAAGAGGATAACGATCTCCCAATGTTTTTTCATTCAATTTTCTATAGTCTATGACTATTCTCCATTTTTGCTTTCCCGATGCGTCTAATTTTTTTGGAACAATCCATATATGTAGGTGAGCACCACGCTGAATGGCTCTCTCTAATAATTTTTTGATCAAGCATTGATTGTATTTGTCTTTGTACCTCTTTTCAGTGGATTTCAGGATATCTGTATGATTTAGTGTAAATGGGTATTTCATCGCTTGTATGTATATGATGCTTAATTTTGCTCGTAAAAGTTAAGTAATTACCATCTATGTGAAATATGTCTGAATAATCTCTTACTAACTTGGTGATTGCGTCTTTTTCTTCAGAGTTCATATGCTCTGTCCTAATTTTGGAAATATCAAATTTATATTTTTGAAAGTTCAAAGAATTAATATTCGGTGGATCAGAATTTTCTGAAAATTCGTAATTTTCAAAATTTTCTACATCTATTGGTCGAGATATGTCAAGAGAAATCTGTTCTTCAGATAAATTTAATACTGTGCAAATCGCTTCGTGATTTTTCACTGTAGTAAGACATTCAGGGATTTCTAAACATGATAATTTTTTGTATGGAATAATAGCATTACCATTTTTTAAATTTTTTATGTTAACTTTAATTATCTGTTCTGTTCTAGGTGGAACAGTGATAACGTTTGAAGAATTTTTTGTAATCTCGTGATATTGCATGGGTATCCTTGTTGTGGGTGTGACTAAAAGATCATTGCTCAAATCAATGTTGGCATTCAATATCTCTTTCAGGTTATCGAGTCCTAAAAGGCATTGGAAATGTTCGTGAAACTTGAATAAATGAAATTTCATGAGAATATTTGGATTCTTAAAAATATTTGGACAAGGTATTGTCATACTATATTGTTCGATAGATGAACCATGTGCTGAAGTGATTTGATATGGGTCTTTTTGAATATGTCTTGAAAATAATTTTTTCGCAATTTCAGGGTGTATGAAAGATTTTGTACTTCCAGTGTCAATCAATACTTTGAGATTATACTCCGGAAATACAATGTATGGTAGTTTGCTACATTTGTCGGTTAAACTCATAATTTCAATTGACTTTGGTGGTCCGTTGAGACTTGTGGTTCTCTCTGTTCCGAGGCTTCTTGCCCTAAAAAATCGTCAGAATTATTCTGAGAATAAGCGCATTCATAATTGTCATCATTTGGAAATTCTACAACAGGTTGGTCTTGTACACACAAGTTAAACATAGCCTGTTCTGCGTTTGCACCAGGTCTGTTAAAATTTCTACCTTGAAAATTTGGTTGCTGATACGTCTGTCTAGTGGATGTACTCATCGGAGTAGATTATTGATCTGATTAGGTCTAAAAACGTTATTATTGTGAAAATTCGTTCTATTCTGATTAGGATTATTTGGTCGTACATTATTAGGACTAATTTGTCTTTGTAATACTGGACGCTTTACCGCTTGGTATTGATTCCTATAATTACCAAAGTTGTTGTTCATATGGCGAACTAATTGTATATTATTTCGATTAACATTTTTATGTTTATCTACCTTATGATCAAGCTGAAAGTTAGTTAATATATTCAGAGCTTCATTCAAGTCTGTAGGATTTTTCGTCCTCATGAGCGATCCTAGAGGTTCCTTTAAACCTTTTATAAATACTCTTAATGGTACGCTTTTGCAAAAATTACATACTATCTGAGCTTCTTCACTCACACAATGTGTAGTTAAAAATGATATTTGTAAATTCAATAAACTCTGAACTTTGTTATAAAATTCAAAGGGGGTTTCATTGTTCTGCTTCAATTCACACATTTCTATATTTAGAGTAAATACGTCACGCTTGTCTTGATATGTATTTAAAAGTGCAGTTTTCAAGTCTGTCCAATTTTTTATAATATTGCTACTAATATTTAAAGCTGCATGACCTTTAATTTTCGCTAAAACACTACTCATAAGATATTCGTTCTGGAAGTCATTTTCATCCTCTAATCTATAAAATTTATTCACTAACTTTTCGCAAATATCTATGAATCTTGGTAATAATTCTTGTTGACCATAAAATTCGGGTATCATGTTAAGATACTCTGGGCGTAATGACATGCTTGATTGATTTACTTGACTGTTGTTCATATTGACTGTACTATTTAGAATACTAGGTCTTAATTGCAAATTCCTTAAACTATGTTGGATATGTTCCGTATTCGACTGTGAGTCCGAATCAGTGTCACTCAATGTATCATCAAACAGCTCTTGATTGTTTAACCCCTGTAAGACATTCGTACTTACAGTAGTAATCCAATCAGTCCCATGTGTCCGTATGCCTGGGCCACTGCTGGGTTGCCTGTCCTGGAGCAGATGTTCCTTCTGTCCTCTGGGCTGCTGTCTTCTTGGTTTCTCGTTTTGGGTAGGGTTCTATCCCAAATCTGGTTCCGGTGATCACGGTAACAATATCGATATTCCGACGGATCGTTCGCGACCAATCGCGGTTGGTTTCGTTATAGCCAGCAAACCGTTGAAACGAACCGAAAATGTCCTTTTTTCGTCTGGCTATCCTACTGCTTGCTGCGCCACTCAAATATCTTTCTTCAACGAAAACGTTTTTAAAAAGATTTATTTTTGAGAATAACCAAATACAATGATGTTAATTGAATGAGTTCTGAATCGAGACTGATTGCAAAGTTCATTATACAAACCAAAGTAAAGAACAAATGAAATACAATACTGAAACTGATAAGAAAGGAACGTGGAGGCAAAAGTCCTTGTTCAGCATATTCTTCTCTATAGACTGGTACATAACTTATATATATACATATATATATATATATATATATATATATATATTATATATATATATATATATATACAGAATGGCGCATCCATGTCTGGACGGAATATTACTCATAAACAAATACATTTTGGGAAAATCTATTTATGGCATGTTATACATGACATTTGAGGGCACATTTCTAAAATATTGGCAATTAAACAGGGTGTCAAATTTTATTGCATATTTGGATAAACCAATTCAAAAGAAGAAGATTGATATAACATACTCTGGGGTTTTGGTAATTAGCTACTGAGGTGTAAGGTGTTTTGTCTTGAAAAACCGTCCACTTCGGCAACCCCTCATCCGCCATTTTGAAATTTGGAGTGCTGAATTTTGTATCAAAAAAACTTACACACCTCAGCTTTTATCTTATTTGTTACTTTTTCGAATTTTCATTTCATTCAAATACCCATGGTTTGCAAAATAATTGTGGTCTGGTTTTATTGCTGCAAGTTGTTCAAGGGGGTATCCAAAACATGGACACCAATTTTAGTGGGTAAGCTTTTTATTTGACAACAAAAAATGAGAAAACGTGTTTTTTGGGATTCAATCGAAAGTTTTGGCAGGAACGAAAAAACTCTTCATATAAGACTTTTAGGTATTTATGAGACCTACAAAATGAGACCAAGCGTAAAAATATCAGATTAATAGCAAAAAAGTTTTCTGCGAAAACCGAGGCAACCTAAAGGTTTTGGCACTTGTTGGTAACGCGTCGATGGTTTTTCACCGATATTTGAAACTCTTCAAATTCGTACTTCTTAATAACCACAACAAAATTTGAGGAGATTGGTCAAGTAGTTTTTGAGAATTTCTAATTGTGTATCCCAAAACACCTGTTTTCCTGCCATCACTACTAGTTTATTGAGCAATATACAGGGTTAGTTCAAAGTGAATTTTATAGGAAAATACTCTAGTTTACCTTGCCGATATGAATCGCAAACCACTCCGGAAGATAAATGTTATTTTTGTGCAAAAAAATGATGGGTTTTTTCTTTTAAACAAATTAAAACATTTCGTATTTGTGAGTAATTCGCAACAAACTATGATAAGACACATCCGCTTGTTTTGAAATGTGTATACGTATAGTAACGTATGTTTTTCGAATATCGTAGCGCATTTGTTCAATTACTCACAAATACAAAATGTTTGAATTTGTTTAGAAGAGAAAAACGTAACCTTCGTTTTTCGTATAAAAATAACACTTATCTTTCGGAATGGTTTGTGATTCATATCGGCCAGGTATACACGTGTATTTTGCTATTAAATGCTCTTTGAACGAACCTTGTATATTGCTCAATAAACTAGTAGTGATGGCCGGAAAACAGGTGTTTTGGTATAAACAATTAGAAATTCTCAAAAAACTATTTGACCAATATAATGAAATTTTGTTGTTGTTATTTAGAAGTATGAATCCTACGGATTTGAAGAATTTCAAGTAGTTGCGTGAAATTATCATCGCATTACCAACAAGTGCCAAAACCTGCATTTTGCCTCGTTTTTCGGCCATATTTTTACGTGTGGTCTCATTTTGGCCTCATAAATACCTAAAAACCTTATATTAAAAGATTTTTCGTTCCTGTCAACACTTTAGATTGAATCCCAAAAAACACGTTTTCTCATTCTTTGTTGTCAAATAAAAAGTTTTGCCATAAAAATTGGTGCACCCATTTTATGCGTCCATGTTTTAAATACCACCTTGACCAACTTGCATAATTGCTCATGACACTACTGACAGTCAAGAGAGACTCTAATAGTGTCTCTATAGATAACCTCTCAATGGAGCTTAAATAATTCTCGAAATACTAACCTGAAATGTTTTTATTGATTGGTGTACCGGTAACAGCCCACCTGTATTCAGCACATATTTTTCTCGCCATCTCCGAGACCATTTTTTTGGGCGCGTCTACCGTTTGAGCTTCGTCTAAGCAAATTCGCCACCATTTCACTCTGGTTAATGGGCATCCTAGTGGTGAATACTTCCTTTCTCTTCTCAAGTTCACGATCTAGAAACGTATCGCATACATGAACAGAAGGTATTAGGCACTGCTCTGACCAAAAGCTACCCAACCTGAACTATTTGATTCTGAAATTTCCTAATTAAAAGGAAAATCAAGTAAGTTTTTTATAATATGCAGCTGCGCAGGCAGAAACCTAAACACCGTTGCGCCCCGACTGCTATAAGTAGTCTAAGGACACCTTGTTCATCAGATTTTTGAACTGCCTAAAATTCGACAGAATTAGGATTTGAGGCAGAAGCCTGGTTAGTCCGTCTGTCAGGCTGAACCCGCAGCGGCATTATGGAGTGAAATTTCGACAAGCAAAGTTTGTTGGTGTGCAAGAGGCACGCGACTGACTATAAGTGTCGTCGAACAATCGGTAAGTGTTCCTTTGAACAGCACCCCGAGTATGTAGAGTGTAGTCTGAGAGGGGACATCTCAAACATGTGACCAATACTCGAGGCTAAGTCTTATTTGGTACTTGAGTGTGAATAGGTTGTGTAGAGAAAAACACTGCTCGGCCCCAAATAAGTAACCCAACCTTTTCCCAGCTGCTGTCTCGCGGCTGACGAAGTGTGTTCGTGCCAAATCAATTCCTCGGTGATCTGGACTCCGACCAGCCAAAACTAATGAATTCTTGGTAGATCTCGGCCATCCATCGAAACGCTTCTTGTTAATCAAGGTACAATACTATGTTTTGGAAGCATTAAAGAGTACCATGTTGTTGAGTCCCCATGCAGTAATAACTTCCAGATCTATATATTACCACCTGCTTTTTCACGAGTCAGCTTCAAGTCATTTTCCATCATCCATATGTTGATCTTGGTTATTTCATAAGTCAGAAGACTTTTTAATATGTCTTCCTCTTGTTACCACGATTACCAAGTAATCAGTATACCCTATCAAAGTGCTGTCATCAGCAAAACTGTTGATCGTACAGGGCAGGAGGTCGTTGATATGTAATAGAAACAGTGTTCGAGCCAAAACCCAACCCTGACGAACACACGCCTTGACATTGTGGGGTGAAGAGGAGAACCCGGCAATTAGGTCGGTTATCTTGTGACTGAAAAGGAAGTCAGCCACCCATCTGCAAAGCTTCTCTGGGAGGCCAGGGGTAAAGATGTGTGAACGACCTGCTTAAGTGAGATCCACTATCATGGACCCCGTTTACATCTCATTTATTTTTTACTCACATACCTTTCAGATATTCATCGACGTTGGGGGCCGATACACTTTGGGAAAAATGAGTTCCAAATTGATGAACTTATCCATCACCTTGCTGATTATAGGCAGCCGAGTTAAAAGCCTGTCGGTCGGTCTTAGATCCTTTTTCGGGGCGGGTTGAGCATAAGCAAAATTCTAATCATCTAAAAACGTGCCGGATTAAGATATCTGCTAAAATGAAGTGAAAGAACTGGAGCAAGCTCCGCTGCATATAATAGCAGAAATCAAGTCAGAACCATAAGCCAGAACCTGACGTCGAGCAACACGAGTAGTCTGACGATCTTGTCTTTGAAGGTTGCTTCCCACATAGTGCTTAGTCATTCCATTCCTTAGACTCTCCGGTGGAATACTAATAAATAACAAGACCGACTCCCAAAAAAGTCATCCCTCAACCTCATTTGTAATTATTCCTAGGATTTCTTATTTTCAGAATTTATCAATGACTGAAAAGTAAATCTCCTTCGGTAACAGTCAGAGTAGTGGCAACGCTGAAACCTACAGACGGTAACAGGTATATAGTTGTATGCATACGTGGTCGGTGGCGCCACGCTCATATGGTCATTTTCACGCCTGAACTGCATTCAATTGGGTTGGGTACCTTCTGGTGGAATATGTTGATCAATACTTATACTTACATTTGATTGTTCTGTCAGTCTCAATTCTGACTGCAAAACATTGTATGTTGTCACTACAATATCATAATTTTTTAAATCTGTCGGGTATATAACCATACTGTTGCAACCATCGTACCGCAACACTTTTATACCACCACCTATATGTCTCCTGATTTCACTAATCCACTGTTTGCGCAAAGACAAGGGGGTGACTATTAGTGTAGCACCTATTTCTATCAGAGGCTGGCTCATCCAACACTGGGAGCAGAAGTACTCGCCTAGTTTCTTATTGTACCTAAATCATTATTTTGCGATAAGTATTTGCTAAAAATTGCATTGCACATGTAATTTTATTAGTAAGGTGGCCCAAGGGGGGATTTTGGGATTTACATCAAGCTGAGTCGCCTGTAGGCAAATAACAATCTGCTTTTAATTAAATTAAAAAAAAAACTCCACATCGAACTTGCGTCACATCGAACTTATCGATGTTTTAAGTGGCAGCTTCTTTCTAACTCATTTAACACTCCCCCTGAATATCTCACGCACTAGAAACATTTTATTTCACGTTTTCCACCTTTACAAACAATGTCTGATGTCTGATGCCCTCTAGTATTTACAAGTTACTACTTTTTTTACATTTCTGAAAACCTGTTTAAAGGGTATACAGTATATAACCTCTGTTCTTACTACCATATAATCTTCAAAATACAACAGGTCCCTAAATCCTCAATTAGCATCATGGACTCCCCTAATATATGTTCATTTATTACTAGTACTAGAGTAGTATCCAAAATTAGCACACCAAAATCATGGACGAATAAACAAATTATATATATTTTCATAACCAAACAATTTTCAAGTGACAGCTAATCAAGGGGGTGTAAGTAGTATATATGACTGTACCCAGCTTTGAGCGTCATCTGAAGAACGCGATCCCTACTAAGTGTCTCCAAAATCGATTATGGTATCACTGTTTGAAACGTCAAGGGCTGTATTGTTAACTGTAAAAACTTAGACGGGTCAAAAAATACCAATACTGTTGTCGCAGTTTTGTGGCTGTCTAGATTGTGTAAAAGTGGTGCAAAGGTAATCAGGCAAGACCTTCTGTAAGAAATTAATAGGATATGGTATTGAGAATTGCAACAGGGGAGAGATTATAGTTTCACAAAACTAGAATGTATTTTTCATTGTGCATTGTATGTCTATGGGATAGAAAAAGTATGCTATGCGACCGGCCAATAGTTAATTCAACAGCAGAAGGGAAAGTGACGATAACGAACGTCTGCGGTCAGAAGCTATAGTGATACTGGATACTGATACTGGAAAATAACGTTGAACATCCACAGTTCAAATACCAATCTTCAAGTAAAAATACTGAAGAATTTTAATTGCAAGTACATGAAACGTGAAATCGATTGCAGATGTGTATAGTTCAAAGCAGCGAGATAAATTTTGATAGAAAGCATTTTCTCATGTGTTATCCCAGTCAATCTTTTTGAATTTTGAGCAGACGTTTGATATCAGTTTTCAGATTCTCAAAGTCATAAAACATTTCCGTTTTAGAGATTTCAGAATTATGGAGAATACTTCTGTTAAAAATTCAGAAGTAATTGGAAGCAATTAGTTTGAAAAGGTGGTATATCATAGATCGTACTGAAAATAGAGGACGCGAGTGTGGTTGAATAGTGTCGTTTCCTGTAGAGAAATTATCTCTTATAGGATTGGGATCGCTTCTTTCAGATGACGTTGCCACATGTGGTACTAGGAAGTAGTCGAGAGAGTATTATATGTAGTATACCAATAATCAGTGCAGATAATGTTCTTTTGTCATTGACTGAGGACATGCCATTTAATGATATTTTTTTTATATATCACCGACGTAAAAAGTTGGTATTATTGGTCGTAGATTGTCATGTATAGGTTACGTTTTCTGATAATGATTGTAAATGAAAGTTGTGCTGTTTTAGAGCGGTAAAGTACCGGAAAGGCTTGCTACTGGTTACGTTGGGCCATTATTGAATGTTTCCATGTTGTTAGAATGCCAAATTCACGCACTGATTTTTATCAATAATTGTACATTTATTTATTTATTTACACCACCAACAGATAAACCAATTATTGGTGGGAGAACAGAAGTTAACATAGTACAAACCTGAAGTAATTAATATACATAAGAAATATGACTGTCACAAAACTACACAATTATATAACAGATTTGAAGAGGATCTTAATAGAGATCACATTTGAATTAAATATATCAATTCTGTTTTGTAGATTGTTTAAACAGGTACACATGGAATATAGGGGAGAATGCAGCAGTAAGTTGGTCCTGCGGGTCGGTAAATAAAACGTTGAGATATTTCTGGTGAGACATCTTGGTATATTAAATGACAGGCGACTTAGAATATCCGGACAATCATATTGGTTGTGAATAACCTTGAATAAGAATATTAGTGAGTGCATTTTTCTTCTGTGGTCTAAGCTTAGCTCTTTAATAATACATCTTGAGGAACACCTATTTCTGGATAGATACCATCTATCCTGTAGGACAGATATTTCAGAAACTTGCGATGTATTTTTTCTATTGAGTCACAAGTCGTCACATAGCAGGGATTCCAAATAATTCTAGCGTATTCAAGTTTTGACATTACAAATGCATTATACAGCATGAGTAGAGCATTTATGCTGTCAAAATCACGAGAGTTGCGTAATACAAAACCCAGACTTTTATTTACAGAATTTAGAAGATAATTTATATGCGGATTGCAACTGAGGGTTGTGTCGAAGGTGACTCCAACATCTTTGAATTCCCTTAGATTCGGCAGCGTTGTTTGATTAACCTTATAATGATATTCTATGGAGCGTTGTTTTCTGGAATATGTCATGCTGGTACACTTGGACGCATTCATGGATAGGTTATTACTATCGCACCAAATTATTATTCTGTTGAGATTATCTTGGAGACGTTCGCAATCGGTGTTGTTGCTAACCTGAGTATAAATTTCAATATCATCGGCATATAAGAGATATTTGCAATCAATAACGTCACAAATGTCATTGATAAATATGATAAAAAGAAGTGGTCCTAGCAATGATCCCTGTGGAACACCTGATGTAGGAGTAAACTTTTGAGATTTGGATCTCTTGAATTCCACAAACAGCTTACGGTTGGTCAGATAGGATTTCAAAAGGCATACTAAATCATCTGAAAAGCCCATTCTATCAAGTTTTGCTAGTAGCAGATGAAGGTCCAACCTATCAAATGCTTTACTAATATCTGTATAAATGACATCGGTTTGCACTCCAGCGTCCAGGGATTCAGAAATGAATTGTGAAAAACAAATTAGGTTAGTCGTTGTGGAACTCGCTTCCATAAAACCGTGCTGACAAGGAGATATACTCTTACTGACACTAACATATATAAAATTGTACAATAAGTACTCCAAAGCTTTGGAGAAGTTACATACCAAAGTAATTGGTCTATGGTTTTCTATAGCAGTTCTGTCACCTTTTTTAAAAATTGGACATATTCTTGCTTCCCGCCAAACGTCGGGATATATTTTAGTTTTCAGAATAATATTGTATATTTTTGTTAATGGGCATGCAAGGACAGACGCACAGTCTCTCAGCAAAAAAGATGGGATACAATCTGGACCATTGGTCAATTTATTTTTCATTCTTTTCAACGCCTTATATACTTCAGTTTCGTTAAAATTAATTAGGGAAAAATTAGTATAGGATGAAGTTAAATTACTTGACGGGGGCGAATGAGGATTCTTTGAAAATACTGATTGAAAAAAGTTGGCAAACGCATTTGCTATCTCATCAGGTGTGCTGTAGGTAGTGCCATTGTAGTTCATTTCATTAACTGGATGGTTGTGAGCTTTTTTATTGCGTATATGCTACCAGAAACTATTAGGAGAATTAGCGATATCATTTTGAATGCCTTTTAAGTATTTTTTATATGCAGAATCTGTATCTTTTTTGATTTTTGCTCTAAGATTTTTAAACTCCTCAGACGTTTTCAGCTTGTCCATATCTTTTGTATAGTTTGTGCAGCTTATACTTGTTTTTTATGTTCCCAATTATTTCACCATTAAACCAAGGTGGGTATTTCCTGCGGCTTAATTTAGTTTTTGGGACACACATTTCGAATATGCAATTTAGTGTACTGTAAAATAAACTACACGCAATATCAGAGTCTTGTATATCATCCAGAAAAGACCAATTTACCACACCAATATGCACATACATCAGAAGAAAATTAGCTTTTCGGAAATTAAAATGTTCGGTCGGTTTTACTGTGTTCTGTTTGAGATTTCGAATACTGTTTTCTAGGGTGATACATAAAGGAGGGTGATAAACATCCTCTGGAAGTAAATCTTCGTATGCCTTTTCAACCGTACAGCATCTCTTAGAAAACACCAGATCCAGCACTCTACCATTAATATTCAATACAGAGTTATACTGTTTAAGATCAAGTAATGTCGTAAACAACCGCTGCACTCCTTTGAGAAGTTTGACTATTATAATCCTGGAGAAACTCTGGAATATTGAAGTCACCGATGATATATAGATCGCTGTCAAAGGCGTAGTCCAGAGATTCTATATGCTCGAATAATCTGTCATAGCAAGCTGCACTCGTGTGTGGGGGTATGTATACTACAATGAGATAAACAGATTTGTGTTCAATTTTAAATCGTGTTCCCAGAATGTCAATGCTTGGTATATCTTCACTGATAAAACTTAAGTTAAGGTCAGAGGGTTTTAACCACCCGTTGATTGCGATTATTGCTCCAGCCCCTCTACTACAGTCCAGTGACGCTATGTTTCGATCTTTTCTGCTAACTACATATTCATCTGAAAAGAGTTCAGCATTCAAGACGCCGGGCTGTAGCCACGACTCAGTACAACATATAATGGGATAATCAGACATAATAACGTTAACAAAAAATTCTCTGCACTTAGAGTTTAACCCACGTACATTCTGGTAATAAATCAATAAACGATCATTATTATCAAATGAGACTGAATTAGTAGATACACTACTGTCTTTAACATTACAATAACTCGAGGAAGAAGAAGTTGGCCGATTAGGGAAAAAACAGTCTAGTCTTGAAGTCGTCAACCTTTGTAAATAGCTAGGGCATTTGGAATCCCATGCAGCATGTAAAATATCAAAATTTGTGTTTTTGTCATTGCTGCTCCTCAAACAGTTTATGCACTTCATAATTTTTTATTGACAATTCTTAACTAGATGATCTTCGCCACAGCACGGGCAGTGGCGTTGACTTTTACACTGGTTGGATAGATGCGACGAGCCACAGCAGTTAAACATCTCTTGATATTCACCACATCATACACATCGCAAACATCGTACCCCAGGAACCTCTGCATGACATTATAATCTTGTTATATGTGTCAAAATCAACTTGCAGAACGGCTTGAAACATATCATTCCTTTTCCTTATTGACTTGATGTCTAACACCTTGAACTGAGAGTTGTCTCCTATGATGTCCTTATTCTGAGAAGTGATGTGACTGATGATTCTCTCTTCACTGAGCTTCTCTGTCATTCCTGCGATCCTTATTTTGGGGCAAAAATGTATAGCATCTTTAATTTCATATTTATCCCAGAGTTTTTCAGCAGCTATCCGTATCAACTTCATGCTCTCGTTACTGGATGTACAACCAATCAATAGTCCGCCATTCTTTATGCTTTTGATTGCAGAGAGTTGAAGGTTTTCAGCAATAGGATCAACATGATGCAGCATGTGAACAGGTTCTTGATTTCATCCATCACTGGAGACAGTTTGGCATCTAAAATTTCTTTTACTTCGCTGGTAAAGGTACAATATTTCTCACACTTCCAAGACAGGCCATTCACCTTCTCCAAACTTTTTATGATGTCAGCTGATAAACCCTGGCAGTTAGCATAAAAAACCTTTCAGCAAAAACCCTCACACTTAACACTTTTTGTCCGAGAGGCTGTAGTGGAATTGCAAAAATTACAAACTGGATCCCCCATAACGATGAAATGGGATTAGAATATTCTAAATCTGCCACGACTGACCGATTGCTGGAACTTTTTATGTAACTGGATTGGTGAATGATTGTCATACTCCTTTCTCTCCTTCAAAAATTTCTAGATTACACTTGTCCCGTATCAGCGTCAGCGCTCTCCTATTGTGAAGATATGTTTTCTTTTAAATTGTAGGAAATTTCAGGCTGATAAAACATGATATAACTCAAAGCAAGCACAATTTGATGCAAATAGATGTTTGTGACATAACCTTAAAATAGAGTTCTGACACGGAGAAGTAGAAAACTATGACAATCAAGGAGGCCATAAACGCGCCCTACAATTGTAGGGACGACTGACGATACGGGCCTTAGCATGACCTGCTTGATTTTCTCTCCTTCAGAAAGGCTGGAGTATTTCTGGTTTTCTACTGTTCCGTGTCAGCGCTCTCGTATTAAAAGAACAAAACATATCCTTGTTTTCTTTTTGAATTGTAGGAAATTTCAGGCTGATATAAATCAAAAGCATGAACAATTTGATGAAAATAGATATTTGTAACATGATCTCAAAATAGAGTGTTGACACGGAACAGTAGAAAATCATGAAAATCAAGGAAGCCATAAAGGCGTCCTACAATTTTAGGAACGACAACGATACGGCCCTTAATATACAAAATCACTATTACACCTACATAAATTGACTGACTGAAGCAGTTTGTTTTATTCAGAAAGACTTACTTTAGCAAATGTAGTGCTTGCTTACACGTTATGTGGTCTAAGACAGATTTAGAATAAAAATATGTTACCCCAAACAAAGTTTGTGCTGCTTCTTTCCACAAGATTCACATTTAACTATTCCTTCATCAAAAATGCTGCCACATACACATTGGATGGGAGGTTCCTTAGGAAGACCATAGTTTTTTCCAAAACCTAATTCTAGTGCATACCTGGGGACAAGACGATTTGACTGAATTGACACCTAAGGAGACTAATCATGTATTATTTGGACTTGGCCTAGTGCGGTAAAGTAACTTTAGAGCCTGCTATCTTTCATTTACCTACGTTCATCAGTCAGGACCACTGTCCGTATTTGTTTGTTGTTAGGCAACGACTTCAACAACCGGCAGCCCGGAAATAATAGTACGATATTTTTTTTTTTATTTCTATATCCACAGAAAAACTAAACAGACTTTTGTTTATATCAGTGCCGGTCTTTGATGAAATTTTACATGTATCTCGGACTCAATAAGCGTTTATACCCCTTGGCGTGTTAGAGTCCGCAGCGCTTCGCACCTTGAGCTCTAAATTCACGCTGCTGACCATAAATGCCTATTTAACGGCATATATACATACAGATGGTGTTATTATAGCTGATACTTTCCTTTGCATGATGAATACTTCTTGAAAAACAAAATTTTTTTCTAGTTACATAGATATAGGCCAAAGACTTGAGACAATATCACATACGGCTCTGCTTGTGCCACCAGCGAATGGTCAGAAGAAATGGTACGACGAGCATCAGTATTCAACAGGTTGCGTAGGTCAAGCGAGCTGATTGATTATACATCGCATTTGAAAAAAAAACAATAATAGACGATACAGTGAATGTTAAGGCTTCGCGAGTGTATTCAGATCGGTGCGAAAGGGTCCCGAGAATGTATGTTAGATAAGAGCTATCTATAAGTTGGGCCCTCCTCTGGACAGAATCGAGCATTAATAATGTAGTCGGCGCGGCAGCACCCCAAACGTGTGAGCAATACTCTAGGCTAGGTCTTATCTGGGTCTTGTATGGTGTGAGAAGGTCATGCGGAGAAAAGTACTTTTTAGCACTAAACAAATAGCCTAGCTTTTTCCCAGCAGCTGCTGCTATTGACGAGATGTGTTCGTGCCAGATCAGATCCTCGGTGATCTGAACAACGACCAGCCGAAATGAATGGCTGTCTGGCAGAACAGATCGTGCAGGAAAGGAGGTCGTTGACATGTGACTATGTCGGAGCAAAGACCGATCCCTGGGGAACACTCGCGTTGACGTTGAGGGATGAAGAGGAGAACCCGTCAATTACAACGGAATATTGCGGCCAGAGATAGTCAGCCATCCACTGCAAAGCTTTTCTGGGAGGTCATAGGACGGAAGTTTGCTTAAGAGGGCAGCGTGGCACAGCTGATCGTGATGTCAAGAGCAACGACATGAGCCTCACCATAAGGCTGGATGAGCTTACTCCACAATTGTGTGACGTAAGCTAGGAGGTCCCTGTGGATCGGTGGCGCCGAAAACCATACTGCCTTTCGCTAATCAAGCTGTGACGTTCGAGGTAGTCCAGAAGCTCGCGATTTATGCATCTCTCCATCACCTTACTTATAGCAGAAAGCAGAACTATAGGCGTGTAGTTGTAAGGGTCGGTTTTTTGGCTAGGTGTCGGATTCATAAAATATATCTGGAAGATACGCGAAAGAACTGGAGCAAGGTCCGCTGCACACTCCTTCAGTACAATGGCAGGAATCAAGTCCGGACCAAGAGCTTTGTTGATGTAGAGCGACCTCCTGCATAGTGTAAGGGTGTTGTAGGGAACCCTTTGAATTGACCGATTGCCATAATGTGCTGCGACATTACCCTGTGCCTAACTTTTATATCGTGCTTGTTTTTGGCAATACGAACCGCTTCGTTATATTTGATTCTGGACTCGACGTCAGCTTGTCTGTTCTCTACAGTGGGGTTTGTAAAAAGGTTATCTGTGTCTTGATCTTCTGCTGGCGAGCAGTGTCACACGATTTGTTAAACCAGCCGTTAGACACTGGTTTAGGCACTTTCACTGTATGAGGGATGTATTCCTCCATTCCGACGTGGATAATTTCGGTTATCAAAGAACAGACAGCCGACGCATCCGCGTCAGTGAAACAGACATCTCTCCAAGGAAAGGTAGAGAAGAGGGGACAGGACAGCAGTGCTGTAAGGGACAAAATGTGTGGTTAGAAAGAGCAGGCTACTGGCATGTGACAAGACGCGGGGGACAAAAGTAAGGCTCGTCACCAGCTGGGTCAGTCCTTGAGTAAGAACGAACGCTCCAACTGCACGACCTGCTGCATCGGTCTTGTTTGCCCAACCAAAGCTTATTATGTGCATTGAAATCACCGAGGAGAACTACCTTTGAAGCGGGGGTTTGATGTTCAGGAAGTCGATCTTGACGATGAGGTATTCAAGTAGGTCTTCCCAGTTATGGCCCGAGGGAGAGCGATAAAGGCAGCAAATAAATTTGGGACATGTTCAGGAGTTGGGGCGAAGCCACAGAATGTCCTTCCGGTCTGATTCCAAAGAAACATCTATCGAACAGGAAAAACTGCTGCGGACAAAAGCCACAACTCCCCTATTCTTTCTCAAACTGGAATGCACCTCGTAATTTGGAAAGCTAAGATGGTTAATCGGTGCAAACTCTGAGATTTTTGTCTACGCCAAGAAAAGCATGGCGGGACGATTGAATTGCAAGCAGTGATGAACAGCATCTATGTTGCTGTTAATTCCGCAGATGTTCGTGAAACAAATTTTATCTTCGATGTTGTTCCCTCGAGTCCATCCCCCAACCAGACATTCCGAGAGTGGAGTGAGTTTACGTCCGGAATTCTTAGTACTCGAGGATCCATCATCATTAATTTCTTTGTTTTGGAAGATAACCGACTGCATAGCTTAGGTGTGAAAACATGCGGACATTTATAAGGCTCCCTGGGAAAAGCTAGCGGGTGGTACCGCCTCGGTCGACTGGTCCTTGTCTACCACCTTCTTTTTACATGTTATTGATATTAAATAGACCTAAAGTGGCCCGTTGGCGGACTTGTACCGCCACCCAGCAACCGGTACTGAGATATTCCTTAACGCGTGTACAATTTTTTACTCTCTAGAGCAGTTAAATAAAGGTTAATAGAGGCCTACTTTTTTTTAATTTCCATAATGTTCATTATATGTAGGGGTTGCTTTTCTATATTTATATGTAATAATATAAGAAAAGTAAGTGGCCACAGGCATGATTGTGGCAATTGTGATTTCTTAAATCTTCAATTAAATATTCGATCATTGAATTCCGTTGATGAGTTTTCCTCTTATGCTTCAGAGCTTTCTTTCGACCTACTATCTCTTACTGAAACATGGTTAAACACTGAAGATCAGAGTTATTATTATACCCTGCCAGGCTATAGACTAATAAGGCGGTATAGAGCTGGTCGTTCCAGTAACATTGCCTCTTTTTTGGATACATTTGAGGACATGCTCGGTGTAGTTGCTGCTAGTTATGACTGTTTGGTCGTCACAGGAGATTTCAACATTGATTATCTGAGTTACTCTTATCACACCAGACGTTTTAAAAATATATTGCAGTCATTCAATCTCTCTCAAAAAATATCTGAGCCAGCTAGATATGATATGTTGACATCACACTCTACTTTGATTGATATGATTATTGTAAGTGGATATTTCTAACAGTTAAATCAGGAACCATACCAATAGACGAGAATATAACAGACCATAATTTAGTTTATTCGATCTTCAACATTCCAAAAATAATCAGTTCTCCAAAATATATCACTTATCGTTATTATCATAATATACGTGAGCAGTCATTTCTCCATGAAGAAATGCAGCTTTCGTGGAATAGTATTTATTATTGTACCGATGTAGATGAAAAGGTGAAAATATTTAATAAACATATTTTAACAATCATTGACAGACATGCTCCTCCAAAAACAAGAAAAATTAAGATAGAAAAGCCGTTGCTTCCCTGGATAACAGAAAACATAAAACTTTTGATAAAGGCTTAATCTGACCTACCAGATCACTCTTACTGAACTTCCTGATAATCTCTTAAATCCATCTGAGATACATGATTTTTTTCAGATGACAGATAACTTGCCAGACTCTGCATCATTAAACTTAATCAGTTTTTATGAAAATAATAAAGCTGTGAATAATAATTTGGAATTTCATTTGATAGATCGGAGCAGACTAATAAAAATTGTCATCAGGTGCGATTGGAGAGGATGGCATATCCATCAAAGACATTAAATTGTGTCTTCCTTTCTGCGTAGATGCATGATTAATATTATTAACACGTGTCTTTTGGAAATTACTTACCCTTCTGTTTGGAAAAAGGCTATTGTTAAACCCATATTAAAGGTTGGCGAGCCTAAGGAACTTAAATATCTCAGACCAATTAGTATTTTGTCCTCTGTGTCAAAAATAATAGAAAAACACATTTTTGTTCAATGTCGGAATTTTCGGAATCGCAAAATATATATAATTCCTCAATATCAATCGGGATTCAGGAATAATTTTAGTACAACTACAAGCTTGGTAAATATCTTAAACGATGTCCGAATGCATGAGGACCAAAAAAATGCTACTTGCATGATTTTGTTAGATTTTAGCAAAGCTTTTGATACTCTAAATCACAGAATGCTGCTGGCAAAGCTAAACTATTTTGGATTCTCACCTAATGCAATAAGTTTTTTAAAAAGTTATCTAAGTACTAGATCTAGCTGTGTTTTGATTTCTCAAGGATCCGTTTGCCTCAAATCTGAATTTAAACCTGTAAAACAAGGTGTCCCTCAAGGATCAATCCTTTCGCCCTACTGTTTAGTATTTATGTGGCTGATATGACTGAAGCTGTTGATTATGCAAGCCTTCATCAGTATGCTGATGACTCACAACACATTAATTCAGACCTGCTAGAGGTAAGCAGTTTTGCCATAAACCATAATTTAAAATGTAATGCTTCTAAATCAAAAGCTTTAATTTTAGGATCTAATTTCACACTTAGGAGAAATATTGAGCGTAGTTTGAATATCCGTCTAAACAATGAGATAGACCTCATTGTTCGCGACGCAAAGAATCTAGGCATAATCTTCGATAATGCATTATCATTTCAACCACACATCAAGAAAACATTAACAGCAGCTTACATACGATTAAAAAATATCTCCAAATTAAAAAAAAAATACTGCCATTCTCATTTATTTAATTTCATCTATAAAATTATAAAATCTGGAAAACCTCCGTATTTGAAAAATGTACTTTTAACTTTTAATCATTATTACAGAACAAGACAACCAGAATTTTGTTATCATTCCTCAAAAGACTGTATAAATAGCTATTTACAAACGATGATAAAAATTGTCTTACCATGTTTCCAGAGCAATTTTAGTGGCTGTTTTCTTTGGATTGACCTTCATAATATTTCTTTGTATCTCCTTAATTTTTTTGGTGGTTTGAGGACCTTCTGCTTGAGTATATGTTTCTTCTTCCCTATCACTGTTCATTTTTTTTCGTTTTGCACTGATAATAATAGGCTTCATTTCACCATTATCCTGGAAACATTGTTCTTATGTTAGTAGATTCAGCAACACAGCATGGATAGTAAAGATAATTTTAAAGCAAGGAAGGTCAGTCGTCCCACCATTGTGACTAAAAGATCAACAATGGAAAGAAAATTTATTAAAAACCATATTCCTGTATTTTTAATGATAATAATCAACCAATCTCTAGTGATCTTACTTGCAGAAAAACATGTTCATCCTTTGGATGTAAAAGTATGCAGGCTAATACTTCGACAGTTTTTCCAAGTCCCATTTCATCTGCCAATATTCCACCTCTAATACAAGGCTCTATTTGAGGATATGTGTTTGACACATAGCCAGAAAAAGGAACAAAATACACTTGTAAACCAGATGGCAGTGTAACAGCAGTGTATAAAGGATGTATTTTCCCTAAAAACAAAATTATGCCATTTTATAACAATTATTCAAATACACTTATTTTGATACACAAGTCATTGACTAATATGTCAAATAAAGCTTAACATTAGATTTACATAATATGCGGTAATGTAACTGCTCCGTACCTGAATGGAGTTTACTAAAGTCTATGTTTTCTCTATGGAGCATCCATCTAACAGCCTCAACTTGGTAAGGTCTTAAGCTCACTTTTAAAAAAGGATGAATTTCAGAATCTGACTTTGTTTGTTGCCAAAATTCATATTTTTCACTTCTAAGTTGGACCAATTTGTTATATAAAGTTGATATTTCTGAGCTACCATGTAGGTCTCCCTTAATATCTAAAAATGTAAAATATATAATCACTGACAGTGTCATACTTAAACAAGGAAGTCACTTCTACATACTATAACTAGTACATAATACTGGAAGTATAATGTTATATGGAAATGCTGATCATATGACACAGGAAATTTCAGGCAATATAACAGATGATATAAATCAAAAGCATGGACAATTTGATGCAAATAGACATTTGTAACATAACCTCAGAATAGAGCGCTGTCACGGAACAGTAGAAAACTATGAAAATTAAGGAGGCCATAAAGGCATCCTACAATTGTAGGAACAACTTTTCCACTATTTTGATACTGATGATACAGAAATGGTGCAGGCATCAATAAACCATGATATTCAAAAAATGTATGAATTATCAATTAACCACAACCTGTCAAGAAATCATAGTAAATCTAGCCTATTATTTTTGTTCAGATTGTAGATGAGAAGAAATCAAAAGTCAATCAGCTGATAAAATTGGATTTTAAAGACTGTATCCGGTTGATGAGCTTAAAATTCTTGGCGCAATAATCGATTTCAAAATTAGATTCACCAGTCATGTCAAAAACATTTTAAAGAAAACCTACTTGAGAGTGAGATCACTATACGCCAATAAAGCAATTTTCAATTCTAAACTAACGAAAAAATTGTTCTCGTCTTTAGTTATGCCCATTTTCAACTACTGTGATCTTTTATATTATCCGTGTCTCGATGTTATTACTAGAAATCAGATTCAAATTGGGCAAAATAATTGTGCTAGGTTCATCTGTGGATTAAGGTGCTTTGACCATGTTTCTGATAGTCTTACTGAGTTAAACTGGATGAAAACAAAAAGTACTGTCAAATATCATTACCTTGTATTCATTCATAAACTAATACTTATATCCAAACTTATATACTTAAGATAACAGCTGATCTCTAGGCGTATTATACATTATAGACATTAGATTTGCAAATTTGATTACTATGCCTATTCACTCTACAACTTTATTCCAGCGTTCTTTCACCTTCAGTGCTTTATACAATCCTTTGACTCTTAAATTCAAAAACATGCCCTTAAATTGATTCAAAAAAGCTGTTAAATCTGATGTCTGCTACTTATCTTTTTTTTTGCCTGGGTGGTTAAGTGTAAGAGTAGCATGTTGCTAAACTTCACCACCATATGCAACTCTGAAAGAAACTGGTTTACGGGACTTACTTATTTGATAAAGTCGTGCAGTCATCAATAATGCAGCCATTAAGCACATGCTACATACTAACTAGTCTAAGACAGATTGAAACATAATTGTGTCATCAGTTTGCGAGCAAACTTTATAAACACCGCATTTCAGTATATTTTTTTATAAATTTTAAGACTCATCTGTGACAGTGTAAAAATGTCAGCTCTAAATATGTTTACACAAGAGTATGAAGAGATCTTGAAAAAAAAATTCTTTGCAACAAAAGCTGATAGACAACAAAGACATATACAAAATGTTTGAATTTGTGATGAAATGCCATTTGAATGAACCCTGTATATTGCTCAATAAACTAGTAGTGATGGCCAGCAGACAGGTGTTTTCGGATAAACAATTAGAAATTCTCAAAAACTACTTGACCAATCGACTCCAATGTTGTTGTTGTTGTAATTTAGAAGTAAGAAACCTTCAGATTTGGAGAATTTCAAGTAGCTGCGTGAAATTATGGTCGCATTAGCAAAAAGTGCATTTTGCCTCGGTATTCTGACATAACTTTTTTACTATTAGTGGGATCTTTTTAAGTGTGTTCTCATTCTGTAGGTCTCATAAATACCTAAAAATCTTATTTGAAGAGTTTTTTCGTTCCTGCCAACACTTTCGATTGAATCCCTAAAACACATTTTCGTATTCTTTGTTGTCAAATAGAAATTTTTCCCACAAAAATTGGTGTACCCATTTTATGCGTCCATGTTTTCAAGGGGGTTGAACAACTTGCATCAATAAAACCAAGCTCTACAATTATTTCAGGGAAATTTGCTAATATGATTACACTATTGATCAGCATCTTTTGTACCCAATAAGCATTAACTGACCTTATGCTTCCTTTATGCCTTTACATTAATTATGCTGTCTTATTGTCATTATTGTATATAGGTATTAGAATAAATATTGTATCTAAATCTCGTCGTTATTTCATCAAAAACGCCCTGTTCGGACTTTACAAGGAACTATCCTAGAACCACTTTGATTCTGACATTAACCAATCGTAAGGCAGTTATGCAGTCACGAGATTCCACTGAACCAAATCAGAACCATTCTAGGATAGTTCTCTATAAAACCCGATGAAGGTTATAGATAACTGTCATATAGATGAAACTGATGGATGGCGCAGCAATTCCATACTTTTTCTCCTGATAATGACCAGGAGAGCGACTCTTCTACCAATGTTGATGAATAGAGTTCCTTGAAAGGTGACAGAACTACTATGAGCCCAAACAACTAAATATTCGGACACGTTTAAGTTTTGTGCAAATTGTTCTATAAAATAACAGAACAAGATAGTAAACTTGTACTGAATTCTTTTATTGATAGTTTATACAGAATGTGACCTATTTTAAATAATAATATTAGATTTTCTTGATAAGTAATTTGAATTAACAAAAAAAACTAAACTTCCCAAAATTTGTGACAACTAAATATTCGGACACTAACAAAATGTAACTTAACTAATAACTTGTTACGTCGCCTTTTGCCTTAATTACCGCCTGAATTATTACAGGCATGGTCTTAACTGATGCTTGACAGTTTTCTTGTGTAAACGAATTCCAAATTTCTTGCAATTTCACACGCAGTTCAGGGATTGTTCTCTGAGGATGGTTTCTCAAATGTTCTTTCATTTTGTGCCAGACCGTTTCTATCACATTTAAATCGGGACTACGGGCGGGCCAAAAGAGGACATGTACCTCATGATCCCCAAACCATTGTTTTGTGCTTTTCGCAGTGTGGCATGATGCGCCGTCCTGCTGATAAATGCAATCTCCGTTAGGATATAAGTCTGCTATGGTACGCAATAATGTGTTCTCAAGGATTTCTTGGTATTTAGCTGCATTTACTGTGCCATCTACAAAATGAAGACGTCTCATTCCAACTGCAGACATACAGCCCCATGCAGTCTTTGTGGAAGGTTTCAGTTTTGCTTCTGATGACCTTTTTCCGATGATCGCGTACGCATACGTCAAATTTGGCTTCGTCACTAAATATGATCTTGCTCCAGTTCTCATGCGTCCAAGAGCGATTTGATTTTGCCCAAATTAAGCGCCTTTGTTTTTGGACTTCAGTTAGAAGCGGTTTTTCTTTAGCCTAATTAATGATAAAACATTTTAAAATTATTTTGGAATAATAATTTTATAATGCACACCTTAGAAAATTTGAGTCCAGATTTATGAATGTATTTTCGGCAGCATTCTCGTGAAACCTGCAATCCACACTTTGTGTTCCACTGAGCGGTAACTGCCCTTAAAGTGTTTCGTCTACCTGATTTGCAGATTTTGACCAAAGCTCTTCAATTTCGTTCAGTCACAATCCTTGGTCGACCTGGACTTTTACCGCGCACATCAGTACTGGCGGTTTTGCCATACTTTTTTATAATGTCCGAAACTGTAGACTTAGGGATAACAAGATCACTTGATATTTTGCATATTGGCTACACCTCGCACCATTTTTACATGAATATAAATTACCAACAAGAAAATACAATTAGATGCTAAATACAATTTCTAACGACGTTGACGTAACTGGTATTTTGACATTGGTATCGCCCTCAATTGTTTTTGCATAGCCTGCTAGCATCTGCTTATCTCTAATGTTATGCTTCTTGACCTGTCCGAACATTTAGTTGTCACCATATTTCACGATATTTTAGTGATTTTGTTTGTCTTAAAGTAATGAATATGAAATCAGAGGTGCCGCTATTAAAAATATCTGTTTATTATGCTTATCTATCAATATAAATTGATTTCCAAACATTTTTAGAAGGTGGCAGTTTATTTATGGGTCCACTTGTACAAAAAGTAAAGGTGTCCAAATATTTGTTTGGGCTCATACACCACTACCACTTTCTATCAGTTTTTGTGAATGCTGAATCACTAGGAACCGTGTATAGAATCTATTTGAAAATATTTAAGAATTTATGAGACACTGTATAAAAGATCAACTCACCTTTGCTGATGTCTGTTTCGATATTAAAAATCCATTTGAATACAGTCTTCAGGGACTTTAAGGCTTTATGATGAACTGAAGCCAAAGGCAGCTTTCTTAGAAATACATAAGCAAATGCTTTATCATCTTCAATGCAGAAACTGAGAGATAAGACCTTTGATGTAACAACATCTGTAAATAGAAATATATAGTAAACTTAATATCATAACTTGAATGGACAAATGGTAGGTAGTATGGATTGAGATCCTTTCATTTAGCTGCTAATAAAATGATCTAAAAATTTAAAAATAATTATTTCCAGTTGGAAGCTCCTTCAGTTTTTCAATAAAAGCACATTTTGTCAGCAGGCTGGAAAAAGGGTGTAAGATGCTTTTATTTATATATATATATATATATATATATTCTCTTTAGAGAAGCTCTTTGATTTCCACTGATGGTGATAAAATCAACTCATCCTGAATTATTGTTACATTTTGCGACAGCGCTGCAGTCAGAAAATGTAAAAAATAGCTTTGGAGGTGGAAACCTTGCCTTGGAATGTATAAGATGCAGTGTTATCAAACAAACCAATGGTGCAATGTTGCAAAATTTGTGGCAATCCTGACATTTCATTTCGATCTAAAATGATTTGACAGAATTCACAATTCAAAAATGTGTATGTTCAAAATAAAAACATTAATCGGGAGTAAAGAATAAACTAATGCATATTTTGAATATGCATCTTAATTGGCTATTCAAGCAGCTTCTATCTCTTTCTAACATATGAGCCTATACACACTTCTTTCTCTCATATACATTGAACTCAAGCCAGCAGACGTAAGTTTCCCTCATTAAGCCATTTCATTTGATATCCCTAGTGTAGGGGCGAGTTTGGAATTATAATCTTGATTTTGTGGTGGCCGACATATTGGATTTAAAATGAAGCCAGAATGTGTGCACACGTGTTCTCTTGCCAGAGTCCGTGTGGCATTCCCCCCCATGTAACCCCCTATAGCCCCACGGTACCCAAAGGGTGCGTAGGCCTTAGGCCTTCGTGGTAGTTGGAGTAAAAAAAAAAAGGTTCCATTTAAAGTTGCGAAAGCAGCAAAAAGGGTCTACAGTCTAGCTGCCAGGCTTCACCTCCCCACCACTGCTACTATCAATCCAAGTCAATCATAGCCATCTTCTTAATCCATGCAAGGGTGCTCAGACATACAGTAGCGTGAAACAAGTGCCAAGCCAGCAGCTGAAGAGGCCCCAGTGCAGTGCTAAATCTGGAGCCCTATTGTGCTGCTGGCTACAATCAAAAAGCAAGGATGGGATTAGGGCCACATTATGGTAAAGTCATTGTATACAGCAGAAACAATACATCTCATGCATGGATGTTATAGTAAGTCAATATATGTTGAGCAGCACAAACCTTTCAACACCTCCATTTCAATTAAGCTTTTCATGACAACAAGAGTATTTTCATCATATTCAAGAACTATAGTATCTTGATCATTGGCTTCATTCTCTTCACATCTTGTTTTAAACAAGATTCTGCAAACTTGAAACGTCGTAGGTACTGTGTTATTACTGGTACCTACCATAACCTTTCCTAGCAAAAGATGTTTGCACTCTTCTGTAGGTCCGACTACCTTAAGCTTATGAGGAGGAGCATGTTTTCTAAGCGTTCTATGCTTTTTTACAATTGGTATGTAATTATGCGCACTCCAAATGTCCCCCTCTGATCGGCGTGGGGCATTTTTGCGTCTCCCCATTTTGTTGAACTGCTTCGAACTACTTTTTAAAATGTGTATCAAACGTAAAAATCAGTATAATCACAAGTTACATTGTTGTGTTATGTGCATCGGCGATGAACCAGACCATGAACAAACAACAAAATATAACCTAACCCACCAATTATACAGATGCGACAGTGCGACACCTGGTGTCGGTCCCTATGGTTTTCCTGTCCCCCCCAACCACATTCCAGTCTTTTCTCTATGTGCGCCCGTATGATTTTTTCCGAGGGGTTGTTACGCTTTATTTACATGACGTGCGAATGTCATAACTTTAAACTACAGAATCAAGAAATTACCGGTCCAGCAGACAATTTCCCGAAGTTACCCGAACGAACAGTGGCATCAGTCAAAAGGAATAATATGCAAACACTAGTTAGGTATGTACACAATTACGGCCAGAATAAAGTAGGTGAAAGAACTTTTAGGGGTAGCAGCCAAAAACAAGATAAATAAAAAATCGATTTCAACACTTAGGGAATGGGTGTCCTCAATGAAATGTCTCTCGAAAAATTACTCATATATTGAGACAATTTATGGGCTGGATCAAATTTACTGAGCGAACTTCTAAAGGGGTAGCAGCCAAAAACCAGATAATAAAAAAATCGATTTCAATCCTTAGGGAATAGGTGTCCTCAATGAAATGTATTCAGAAAAATTACTCACATATTGAGACAATTTATGGGCCAGATCAAATTTACTGAGTGAACTTCTAAAGGGGTAGCAGCCAAAAACTAGATAATAAAAAAACCGATTTCAACCCTTAGGGAATGGGTGTCATCGCTGAATAGTATCTCGAAAGATTTTTCATACATTAAGACAATTTTTTGGGCCAGATCAAATTTACTGAGCGAACTTCTAAAGGGGTAGCAGCCAAAAACCAGATAACAAAAAATCGATTTCAACCCTTAGGTAATGGGTGTCCTCGATGAAATGTATCCCGAAAATTTACTCACATATTAACACAATCCATGGGCCAGATCAAATTTACTGAGCGAACTTCTAAAGGGGTAGCAACCAAAAACTAGGTAATAAAAAAATTGATTTAAAATCTTAGGGAATGGGTGTCCTCGATCTCGAAAAATTATTCATACCTATATTAAGACAATTTATGGGCCAGATCAAATTTACTGAGCGAACTTCTAAAGGGGTAGCAGCCAAAAACCAGATAATAAAAAATCGATTTCAACCCTTAGGGAATGGGTGTCATCGATGAAAAGTACCTCGAAAAATTATTCGTATATTAAGACAATTTAAGGGCCAGATCAAATTTACTGAGCGAACTGCTAAAGGGGTAGCAGGCAAAAACCAGATAATAAAAAAATCGATTTCAACCCTTAGGGAATGGGTGTCCTCGATAAAAGGTACCTCAAAAAATTATTCATATTTTAAGACCATTTATGGGCCTGATCAAATTTACTGAGCGAACTTCTAAAGGGGTAGCAGCCAAAAACCAGAAAATGAAAAAATCGATTTAAAATCTTAGGGAATGGGTGTCCTCGATCTCGAAAAATTATTCATATATTAAGACAATTTATGGGCCAGATCAAATTTACTTAGCGAACTTCTAAAGGGGTGGCAGCCAAAAACCAGATAATAAAAAATCGATTTCAACCCTTAGGGAATGGGTGTCATCGATGAAAAGTACCTCGAAAAATTATTCATATATTAAGACAATTTATGGGCCAGATCAAATTTACTGAGCGAACTGCTAAAGGGGTAGCAGCCAAAAACCAGATAATAAAAAATCGATTTCAACCCTTAGGGAATGGGTGTCCTCGATGAAATATATCCCGAAAAATTACTCACATATTGAGACAATTTACGGGCCAGATCAAATTTACTGAGCGGACTTCTAAAGGGGTAGCAGTCAAAAACCAGATAATAAAAAAATCAATTTCAAAAACCAGATAATAAAAAAATCAATTTCAACCCTTAGGGAATGGGTGTCCTCGATGAAATGCCGAACAATTACTCACATATTAATACAATTTATGTGCCGGATCAAATTTACTGAGCGAACTTTTAAAGGAGTAGCAGCCAAGAACCAGATAATAAAAAAATCGTTTTTAACCCTAAGGGAATGGGTGTCATCGATAAAATGTATGCCGAAAAATTACTCACATATTAAGACAATTTATGGGCCAGATCAAATTTACTGAGCGAACTTCTAAAGGGGTAGCAGCCGAAAACCAAATAATAGAAAAATCTATTTCAACACTTAGGGAATGGGTGCCCTCGATGAAATGATCCAGAAAAATTACAAACATATTAAGACAATTTATGGGCCAGATCAAATTTACTGAGCGAACTTCTAAAGGGGTAGCAGCCAAAAACCAGATAATAAGAAAATCGATTTCAACCCTTTTAGGGAATGGGTGGCCTCGATGAAATATATGGGTCATTATTTGAAAAACGGGATGTTTGTGTCCTCAGTGATTTTTTCCTTTGCTTTGGTAAAACTAAGAACAAAATACCAAAAATATTCAGTACTCTACTAGTTCTTACTGAAGTATACCAAAAATACTAATTTTTCATTTATTTCCTAATTTTATTTGCCTTGCAAAATATCATTTCTCACGTTCGTAACGTATCCCCAAACAAAAGTTATGAGATATAGACTAATTATTCTTAAACTTAGTAATGTCCAATTGAGATATGCTCACTAGCAATACTTAAAGCCACTCAAAATCTTGCAAAAAATGCATTTTCATTTTATATTCAAATTGCATTTCGTACAATTACGTGAAATATAAAATGTCCTCGGATTTTCATCTTGGTTTTGAATGCCGTTCTGAACAGATATCTTAATATTTGTATTATCGAAAGTAAAGTAATTAAAATGAGAGTAAGAGAAGTTAAAAACCATAAATATTCTCACAACCGTAACCTCACTTCCGTAACATAATTATTGTTACGGAGGTGAGACTCATGTTACGGAGATAAGATTTTCATTTGTTCCAACATTTTTAGAAGAAGCATGGCCAAGCAGAAAAAAGCACTAATGACAAGAGAGAGCAAGAAAAGAGGGAAAAGGTGGAACAACGAGTAAGAAAGTATAGGGAAGCACTAAAAAGTAATCTAGAAAGATATGAAGAGGCTAAAAGGCTAGAGAGAGAAAGATACCAAAGAAGGAAGGAACAGGGCAAAATAAAATCCATCAATGATCTGACCCCTCGGCAGCAGAGAAAATTACGAAAAGACTGGAGAGCTAGAAGTAAAAAAGTTACGACAAGTTACGACAGGAACCCGTGCAGGGAAATGTGGAGGGTTTGGGAACAATGCGGCCGCACTCGATGCGTGAGAATTCTGTGCAAACCCCTACGCACCAAAATATTCCGGAGACGCCAACATCAGCAATATTGACAGCAGGTTAAAGAAGATTAAGAAGAAATAGAAGAAAGTTGAGATTCGAGATTCAAAAACTAAAGAAAGAACTTAAAAGAGAAAAAGCTAAGAAAGAAAAATACAAGTAGAGGCTTTATAGAAATCGTAACCCAGACAAAGATTCCCCAAACTCTAACGTTCAGAGAATGATTGATGACAAAAGAATTTCAAATGAGATTAAACAACCCTTACTTTTTGGGGCAGTTTTGTCTACCCAAATAAAAGAAATGAATTTTCAAAAAATAATAGAGAAGAAAGAAGGAATCTGATGGCGGCTGTTTCAGGAAGAGTAATAAAAAATACCGTTTTCAAGAAAGACTTAAGATGTTAGTACCTAAGCGTTTCAAATATAATAAGAAAAACAGCAGAATTTTCGATCGTATATGGACAGAGGTTCGAAGAAAAATCATACATTTTTATGAAAATGATGACTCAAGCCGAATATGCCCAGGAAAAAAGTAAACGATAACATTTAAAAAAGTAAAACAACAGAAGAGGTATTTGAACTACTCTCTGAAAGATCTATATGGCAAATTTAGCTGTACTTATCCAGACAAAAAGGTAAGCTACAGCTTCTTCTGTAAGATGCGACCTTTTTGGGTGGTTCCATTGAAGGTTAAAGATCGTGACACATGTTTTTGTGAAACTCACGTCAATTTCCAGTATGTGGTTTCGAAATTATAATTTTACAACATTATTAAATAAAATAGCTGCAACGAAATTATCAAAAAGATAACGTGCTCCGCTGAAGACAAAATCAAGGAAGCATGCTTAAAAAGAAAATGTCCTGAATGTTTACGGCAAAACGTTGAATTTTTAGAATATAATCCTACTGAGCATGTAAAATATGAGTAGTGGGTACCAAAAAAGGAGAAACTGTTGGTGAAAGGCCAGGAAAAAGTTTGCGTTAAAAAAATTAAGGAAAATATTTACAGCAGCAAAGCAGAATTGGTATTAGAATTTCAGAAAAGCCTACCAACTTGCTTACTCACCATTTTAACATGCTCCATCAATACGAAAAGATTCGACAAATTAAAAAAGCTCTCTCAGAGATGGCATAAGTGGGTGTGTAAAGAGAACTGCTGATAGTATTGTGGCCAGAGCAGAAGATATTCCTAATTATGAGACCCTACTAGATAAGCTACAAACGTTGGAGGGTGTTATCATTTTCACGAGGCTCTTTGGACCAAGGCAAACCCTTCCATTATTCGCTTTAGACAATTAACTTGTAATGATTGTTCTGCAGAGGAGGTATGCGTCCATTATAATTTGGGGTCTGTACAATATAAACCAGAGCAAGACGTTGAAGACTCGAATAGCTCTTGTGACGGAATTTTGGCGGACACATTAAATGACATTTCCAACCACACAAGTATCCTTTTTACAACTTTCTGTAATCTAAAAAATTGGTTATATTCATTTTTGGGTTTTTTGAGAATATTAGTGGTTTTTTACTTTTGTGATCCTTGACTTAATAACCAGATATGAAAACCAGTATCTGTTATGAAGATGTTTATAGCTCGAGTGAAGAATCGTTCAGATTATAGGATAAGACCGCGGTGATTCTAGCAACAACGGCCAGCCAGCAACAAACGATAGTCCCTCTTCTCACCAGCGGCCGCGTCGCGCTGGACACCATCGCGCGTCGCTACAGCAGCGAAGCCGGCGCAACGTAAGCAGGCGGTGCGGCACCGTCTTCTCATGTAAAACGGTGTTATAGTATCTACACAAAATTATA